GTTCTTGCTTACTAGATAGGAAATTCAAAGTAAAGTCTTCGTCCCCTACTCCTTTTCTGCAATCGATTACCTTGTCCTCCGAATTCATGAGCAAACAAGCTCTAAAAATCCAAGCATCCCATTGGCAGCCAAATTTCCTACAGTTGGTTAAGCCGCGAAATCCTGCTGCTACATAAAGCACGAGCGTGATGCGCTGACAAAGTAAGAACGAAGGCATTCGAAACAGCCAAGTTGGACAGCAGTATACGGAGGTCGAAAGAATTCGGGGAATATGAGTACGCGAACACACATACACTTGAGATCAAGACTTCAAGAAGTGGCAAGAAAAAATGACGCTTTCAACTCCACATAGAGATTTCGGGAGGCAAACAAAATTCAACATCTACTATTCAAAGCTGTGAATGTAAAATCAGAAAGGAAACCGTTCAAATGGCTTAATGACTATAGTTTGAACAAAACATGAACATGGGAGCTATTTGAGTAAATTAACTAAACGCCCGTTTCTAAGCGGTGGGAAGAAGCTCCCTTAATTTGTCCACTTTGGAGACGCGTTGATGGACAAGTAGCTTTAGCTATTAGAAACATATAAGGATAAAAGGGCCAACAGTTTGGAAGGAATAAATTAGCCTCCTGAAGATTCCTTATACCGAAAAGGATTTGAGTCTGCAGAGTAGAAGATCGGTCCTTCATTTGGTAAGCCATTAGGTTAGCAAATTTCTAACAGTGAAAGAGAGGAGAGTAAATAAATAGAATTACCGCCAATTCGCCACAGAATCACGAACCACAGTGGCATGGTGAATGACTTGGCTCTCCAGAGAGTCGATTTCCTCTTGTAGGCGATTCAAATAATTGCATACACGCAGCAAAGGCCTGAAAAGGTAACAAAGAAAGCAATAAGACACTGTGAAGATGCAATTACAATGCCAGCCTTCGATTACTGTTCTAAACCGTCTTTCTAAAGGGCGAACAACTGAAATGTGAACAAATACTTCGTTAAAAAGCGTGACCTCGGTTGCACATTTGGCACAACAGTACAAACAACGTTGATGATGTGCTGGACGAGGAGAGGACAGAGCAAACTAGGGAATTCACCGTAAATTAACGGACAACTTGTGTTTTCGCTGGTAAGACCAAGCCTGAAAACAAACAAGCCGTGCAATAAACCTACATTGCTTCCACTAAAACAATGTTACACTAAAAGTTCCTGTATTGAAGATGCCTTTTGCAGAACAGGCGCTTCGAAAACGTTAGTGTAAGAAGAACAAGCTTCTGTAGTTTCTTTCAGTGACAATAACTAACAATGAAGAGGTATGTAATGCATACAAGATGACTAATGGTTTAAGGAAGCACCATCGCGTTCTAGCTTACGAAACTGCATTACTTCTGAGACGTTAAGCAATGTAGCATGAGCTACAAACGAAAAGCTGAATTAGCAATACCTGAGACGGACCAGAGGTGGTTACAATACAAACTCCACACATCGTTTGCATAAGAGAAACCCTTTATATTTGAATACCTACCAAATGGAAAGAACATGAACGAGTTCGGTTACGATTATGTTGATGACATTTACCACAACCCTCTGGTTTGCTCAAAATTTCTCAGTCCTCCGCCATTGGATGTGAAGCTGCGAAACTAGTTCCTCATCCGCTCTTCGGCTTTATGATGAAGTCATAACTGTTTATTCAAAATGAAGCTGTCAGATACGACTCAAGCCCCACAACTAGCGTTGACAAACGGAGAATCAGGTGAAAATCGAGCAAAAAGGCCACAATAGACCGTTACTCAAGCACACCCTAGTAATGTGAAAATGGGGCCACAAGCGATTGTTAATTGACACGAGAATGCGAAAGATCGCCTTACTTGCTGTCCAACAGAGAATCATCTGCCCTCTCTGCAAGCAGTCTTTCCAGTTCAGAAATCTCCACCATGTTCATGCGAACCGAAGCAGAGGCGGTGGAACTGGTGGTAGCAACAATTGAGGTGGAGGATGGGTCCCCACCGCCTAACAGCTGACTTTTCTCAATCAGACCACGCAGTGAGCCGCGAAGATCCGAAAGAGTGGACTGATATTGCCAAGCCTCCTGTTTTGTTTCGACTAGCTCTCGTTTCAATTCTTCCAGATGCCTTTTCATGACCTGAGGCGAAAAAGGACACGGCATTATATCTTTTGTTTTAAAATTTACAACTGCTGTATGCATAAGGGAGTGTAACAACTGCCATACAACAATTCAAAGCACTCTAAATGACGGGCATTCTGAAGATTTCCGATTGGTTTACACTTGGAGCAACCATATTTCCGCACAAGAACCAATGATGAGGATAAGTGAGCACACAGGTGAAAAATTGTCAGTACGAAAACCAGCATTTGAAGATAGGTCAATAGTAAATCAGCGGAGACAGAGTAGAAAGGGAAAAAGAAATCACTTCGACAAATACCCAAGCTATCCGACCACCGACAAAATAAAAGATAAGAAATCCGATCCACTAAATTGCCGACAGATCTCACACACAGGAGTCGCAATGCTGCATTATAAGAGGCTTACGTTTATGTGGATCGCTCAACACTTATTGCTGTGGACTCATGAAAATCCCATAAATCCAGAAGAAGCAGCTTAGTAGTGAAAACTTCCTTCTTTCCCCTATAGGAAAATTCACAAGAATCCTTCAGACAGAAGATTGAGCAAAGCTCTTACTTGAAAAACAGTTCTCAGAATAGAAAATAACACGTAGAATGGGTCAATAGCGATCAAACGGCCTTCAATCCCAAAAAGCACTTCGTAAACAAACCATCAAACAAAGCTTGACAACGATTAAAGCAAAACTTAAACTTCCTCAAAATCTATGCAATACACCGCACTAACCGAGATTCAGTCTCTTCACTGCAATACTAAATTAAAAACTTTTCCTCTTCAAACGGGAAGGTTGTTTTAGATATGTGGGAGCAGTTACCAACAGGACAAGAACAAACGCAACCTGGCCTCTAGAGCCACCCGCGCGTCGACACGAAATCCGTTAAGACTCACAGAAGTAAAAAAAATGTACTCTTAAAAGAAAACAAATGCCGGACGGGAATAAGGACGTATGATTAAATGTGAATAAAAGGTACTAACTTGCATGGCCTCCCGCAGTGCATGAACCTCGGATGAAGTCGACCTGTCGTTAGAAT